AATCAACTCCTCCCCGTTACCCTACCTACCTGTCCATGTCTCGCTTTGTCTGAAACAACAGATTTCCCTATTGCCGAGTGCATACGGTCACAACCAGTGCTCGGGTGGTGACGCTCAATCTGCTGGAAGACGATGGCAGCGTGAAGGGACGAAACTATCAGCTGGCCACAAATCGGTTGGCCAGCTCACTCTATCGTTCCATCACCGAGATCCACGCGTTCTTCCGCTGCGACTCCGTCCGAGACACGGTGCTGTGGCAGACCACTCGGGATTTGAAAGATGCTTTGGTGTCAATTTTCGACCACAATGGTGAGTGGTTAATTGATTGCAATTCGAATCTGTTGTAAAGTAGTTAGTCGGCAACGAGATACGGCATCCAAGTTAATCAAAAGGGTTCCAGGGTTGTCATATTGTGTATATTCACATCTTTATAGATATGGCACCAAAAGTTTATCACATTGCTTTTCTCTTTTTTCCCTCTCGTAGACTCCTGGAAGCCCATAATGCCACTGTAATTAGTCCGCACGCACTAAAATACCCAGAGTATCATTTTATACAATAGGTTGCAGTTTCTGCAAAAAAGAAAACCCTATAGGTCAGTTCTGTGGTTTCCAGTTAAGACAAGCAATCAGCTCAATCTGATCGGAAGTTCTGTTTATTGATTAGGTTTTGTTTCTTCCTAGTAAAATCCATCCAGGTGGAACTACAACAAGAACACTTTCCTAATGCGATTTAGCTATTCCACTCAACCCACTCGTTCGTTAGCATGCATGCATCATTGATAAGCTCCATGGGGTGTGGGAATGCCGTGAAATCACAAACGTGCGATCTCGCGTGATTGTGTGTGTGTACGCGCAGATATCAACGGGTCATGCGTTTATCGTTACTTCCAAAGCCAGCAGCTGGGTTGTCCAAATAAGATTAGGGTCATGCGCGCCTGGTCTCAAGGTCGTCTGTTGTCTGCCTGGATTGTTACGATGCCGGTCAGCTGTTCGCTTGTGCGAACCAGGCCAAAGGTCAATACTTTGCGTGTTTGGGAAGTTTGTTGTTGTTGTAGTAAGACAAATAAAATATTCTTTGAACGTGTACCATCACTTTTTCACAATGACGGTTGTAGTGCTTAATTTGATTCACTTACACAGAGAACATTTAGCCACGACAAATAATCCCTAATTTGTTCCAAATCATTCTTTCTGTTCCCGTCATGAATTCAAGACACCTATAACTAATTGGCAACACAAACATTTGAGATTACCTGTGGAAGCAAAATTTTGATATTACCTGAACCGGGCAGTCGTCTACCGAGTAAATACTTTGTGCTTTTGCAGTACCAGATGGTGTTTCAGTTATCGTGAACTGAAGTAGCTGCCTGGTATCATCTCTAAAACCTGATAGCTCAGTGCTACAGGAGCACTACTCGGTGGTCTCGTTAAGCCTCCTGTCATCATCCATTTATTTACCCTGATGAAGGTTTTCAGGATTAACAAAGAACGTCTAAGCTACGTGTCACTTCGTCTCGGGTCTAAAATGGATGGAGTTTCCCCAAGGAAGCTGAATATTCCGGATTCTCTGCGGGCTCAGTAAGTGACAGCACTGCGATTGTCTTCGGGGCCGATTGACTAAAATTGGACGTGATTTATCAGTCCGCTTTTCTTGTAGGAACAATAAACATAGATCTACAACAGCGAACATTTTCCTTCGAATACAGATATGGTGACTTATTTATTCTTTCATGGATTTCGGGCATTTGCTTGTTTCTTTTGTTTTATGGCCTTACGCTTTTGTACTTGTGCAAATGAAAATGAGAGTAGATAAACAAACGATTCATTTATTAACTAGAAGAAAGCCCCATGGTTATCCACTCGGAATTCTGAGGTCTGATTTGTCAATTGATTTACTTATTTGATGATTAATCGTAATTGGATCATGGACCAAACAAGCTTCCCAATATAGACTCATATCTTCTGTGCAATGAACTTTGAAGAAGACAAAGAGATGTGACATGATATGGCACAACGAAAAATACAGTAGATAGTGTATAGTTATCTAGATTTCGCTGTTTGATGAAAGACCCTAAATGTTTTATGACACTGTAATTTATTATGCCATAGCCCTATCACAATTAGTGCGCATGGATTGCAATTTGAAAACCCAAATGATGCTCATTTTCCTCGGTTGAGCATTGTTTGTATTTATTGGTTAACAGACTGCGGCTTTGTGACTAGTGTCAGTCCTATGATACTGTTTGATGTGCAGCCCTTTTGGGTATTAATCGAAATGGTAAGGTCGCTCACTGTAAATGGTAATAACCGTTATCAGGTAACTTATCTGTTCAAGTAGCCGCTTTTTTATTTTTATTCGGATCTGCTCTGTTGAGTTTGAAAATGGTAAAGTGAACAGAACGTTATTCAGGGAAAGATTTATATTATTGTCACGTTTTTCGTTTGATCTGACATCAGGGTTCTCTAATCGATTAAAGAGATTAGTTTGAAGTAGCGACGTGTCAAAATGTGATCCTGTTTATTCATGACCTCGTTGATTTGATTAAGTTTACCCGTTGACCACCTCTAACTTGCACATTTCCAGGGTATGACGGCTTTCATGCTTTCATGATTCAGGTCTTCTGAACTAGAGCTTCTATTCAGTCCCGAAATTTGTGATTATGACGTCGGCGGAGGATTGTAAGTAGCTAATGTTCGCTGCTGTAGAGAATGTTCTATAAAATCCATTCCAGAAGTAGGTTATCAGTTAAAGCCAGCTATCTAGACGCTGTTCAAACTGGTAGTTTCAAAGTAGATATGTGCTGCCTTCTCAACAGTAGTTGAAAATGACGAGAAAGGTAACCCGGGGTAACCGAAGCGTCGGGTTGCTCGTGATAAATACGCATCCGAATGTAGTTACCATAATTTGTTTTTCATCACCAATTTCATAACAATTATAACGATACTTTCGCAATTCGAGTACGACGCGGAGGATCCAGTCCCATACCAGTAGAACATAGTCCTTATAAAATAATTAATATTTTATCTTTTTTCAGGAAATTTATGTATCATCCTTGTCGTGGGCATTGATAATGTTAATGAATATACATCCAAAACAAATTTAATGTACAAATCTACAGAAGCATTTAGTTTAACCAATCACTCACCCAAAATTAGCTCGAGAAGTTGCATTTTGAACACACCTAGATGTTTCATACTAAAGGGTGCCTCAGCATTTTCCATTAAAGCTTTTGTACTGCGTTGATATAACATCTGGTTCCTCAATAAGCTCCGTATGCATTCTGCATTATTTTTTATAAATTGAGGTCCAAACGCATTAATATTATCTCAAGATGTATAAAGGTCCAATTTCCAGGTATCCATAACATGTTAGGTTTTGTTAATCTTTTAGACTAGGAAATCAGCTATATTATGCTAGGGTAGTTGTTCGCCAAGGTGCTTGAGAGTTGTTGATGTATATCATTTACGCCTGTACCTAAATTGCTTCTTTTAACGCTCAGTGTTCGCTGACATTGATAGGTTGAGGATGGTTGCTAAACGAATATAAGTAATTGTGCGGAGACAGATGCATTGGCTCTTAGCTATCTGGATTACTGTTTCCGGGTTCAGGGGCTAGACTGTTTGTGCATTGTATTTAATTCCCGCCGATTGGGGGACACCAATTTTTCAGCTGCTATTCTTTTCTGCTTGTCCCTTCCTACCTTTGGAGAAGATAACGTGGAAAAAGAATCAGACTTAGGTTATGGGAACTGAACCAATTATTGTTTGGTCATATTTATTCCATTGTAATGCTGGTGTCATCATATTCACGTTATCATGAACAGGTTAGGCGTAGAGACTTAGGTAACCTCGGCCGTCCACTGGAGCAAGTGGCATGAGGGTATGAAAACCCTGACCAGGAGACTTGCTCACACAGGCCGCCCTACGATCCCTGGATGAGGACCTCGATTTCATGGTAACCGGTTACTGAGCGATATGACTGAGTGTCGCAAACAGTGGTGCTCCTGCATCCATTCAATATCCTTGCAACCTCAGTCCTAATGAATTCTCTATCTTCCTCTTGGATTCGCTCTCAACGTTCGTGCTTCTTTTGTACCCATACGGTCAGCCAAAAGACAACAACCAAAACCGGCGCACGAAAGTGAATGGTTAATCATTGCAAAAATTAATTGGCTAGGTTCATGATTGGTCTGGCTATTTCCAAGCTATAAAGGTAACTTCTGAATCTCCAATAGTACTTTCTATTAGGAATATACTTTAAGTGGTAGCCCGCTTTTTCATTGAATGATAACGAGTCAATTTTTTTGTCAGATCTTGAACAATAAAGTATCCCCACTTATACATCAAGCTCTTCTACATTTTTTGCGAAGTTGCGGATTCTTATAACCTTTAAGTACCCCTCGACTGATTCTCAGTCAGATTTCGAATAGTTAAGAGGTCTGTAAGGTGTACGCTGCTCAAAAACCGTGTGTGTTGTCATGTTCCACCGAGGTATTAGTACGTTTTGTCATATGCGTTTCGAGGAGCACTATAGGTTAAAGTCTCCGCATCGTTGTACAGAAGCTTGGACCGATACACTATAGATTTTGCTCAAAACATTTCATTTTGTTGCTAGCATTGACAAAAATCTAAATGAATATGGTTGAGAAGCAATTAGGATATTTTGGTTAATCTCAGTCGTTTCTAACAAGATTTATGTTTGACGAGACAGCCGAATTCGTCAGTTATCCATTGCATCAGGTCACCAGGATTTAGATGTTCGGTTGAGGCGAGAAATGCTATTTGCTTTGTCTTGTTTTGTTCCGTTTCTGCTTTTCTCTGCTGTGATCCGCAGCTTGATGTTGTGAACAGTTTATGACTGTTCCGTAGACAACCGATAAATAAGCAATGTCTAGAGTGTAAACAAACTCTGTTGGCTAGATTTCAATGCTTACCGTATCTTTGATCTATTTTTGTATTGGATCAGGGTGTGCGTGTGTACGTGTGTACGTGCCAGTTCTATAGTTCCATTTTTCTTTCCCTCTCCCTA